ATAAAATTAAACTTGAAATTGAAAAAAAAAATTAAAGGAAAAAACTGCCCCAAAATTATTAGCTTTTTTTTTTCATAAATAAGAGAAAGTTCTATCCTTACTGGTCCTAAATCTGAATAACTATGTCTAATTTTTTTAAACCTTAATTATGTTATACCTATCAATATGTACTAGAAGAAAGAGGAGAAAAAAAGTCACTACACTAGTACCAGGACAGCACGCTTACAAGATAGCCATTTTATACATTATTAACATACAATGATCAACAAAGAGTCTTTTAAGAGGTGATGAGGGTACAGAGAAAAGGAAGGGAAGTACAGTACATCACCAACATAGACAAAATAGTAATTAAATTCCCTAGTCTAGACACTGAATTTATGGGAATTTACTGTCTCTTTTTTTTTTCCTTTGTTTTTGCTTTTAAATAAAACTTCTATTTTGTTATTTTATTATTTGAACAAGTTTTGATATTTTAAAAGCGCCCAGCATTGTACTTAACCTGGTTGTTTGGAAATTAAAAAAAAAGAAAGGAAAAAAAAATAACAAAAAACCTCACCAAACAACCTAACATTTTATTGGAAAAACAAAAAACATGATTTTTTTTTTATTATTTAAAAAAAGTTGTTGCTGTTTAATTAGAATTGAAAAGGCTTTTTTTCTTTCTTTCTGAGTTAGCATTTTGGAGTCTTTAGTTCAAAGATGCTTTTGCCCTACCATGTCTGTGAATGTCTACATTAGTCTACTTTGTTAGTAAAATTTATAAAAATAGGAGTGCAGCAGCTCTTTATAATAAATGTCGCATTCAGTGTCTCATACTGGCTGTGCCTTAAGTACCAAATTTATAAACGTAACAATTTAAAAAATATTAATAAAACGTCAATATCACATTTTAAAAAAGAAAAAAATATATATCCACACTACAATATGTTTTAATGCCATCTATTGAGTTGTACTTCTATAGTTGCTGTTGCCGACCTATTACCAATATTTAAAAAAAAGTTAAATTAAAAAATATCCTTCATCATAAGTATCTTTCCCCAACCGAGGACCATATATTATAACAGCCAAATGTTAAACATGTGCAAACAGGAAATTGTCAGTTTTTCCCACCAGTCACAGTGCAGTGATGTTTATACTTTTTACTTTTAAAATTCTGTTTACATCTACAATAAATTAAAAAAAAAAATTCTTCCATAGCCTCTCTGGTGATACTTGCAGCACTGAGGTATTAAAAAAAAAATATATAAACCAAAAGGTTCCTTTCCTAATTTGTAGATAGAAAGTGAATGGAGAAAGGGTTGTATTAATACAGGCTTATCCACTCCTGGCCCGCGGGCCCCCGGATCTGGGAGCGGGGTGGGGGGCAGGGGGAGAAGAGAGGCAAAGTGTCCTAGGGACCTTTGGAGGTGCTGAAATGATTGGACAATAGAAAATGATCAAATATTTAAAAATTAAGACTGAAAAAGAATGTCCCCCCCATCCCCCGCCCCCACCCAAGCCAAACAGGTGTGCTTTGAAACTTTAAATATGTTAAATATTAAAACTGTAGCTTTGTTTTTTTTTTAAAAAACGTCTTGGGAAAAGCAGTTTTTCATATTTTAAATAAAAATCTAACTAGACGGTAACATTTGAAGCTGTGCACAGACGAGAGGTTAATAGGCTGGTACGACACTAATACAGTTCTTAGGTCTATCACACAGACAAAGGAGCTAAACAGTGCTCTAACTTGTCCCGGGGTCGTCCTGGCAGCTGGGTGTTCTTCCTCTCGGTCACTGACTTTGCCAACATTCCCTTCCCTCCTCCTTCCGCAGAGCATCAAACTGCCTGGGACCGACTCCCTCACAAAAATATTTTTGATTCTCTCTTTCTTAATAGTTTCTATGTAGTTAATGGAATTGTATTTACAACATTTCTTTTTTAGAAGTCACAATTTCAAAAAACCTTATAATATCACCTCTTTCAACAGAAAAAAAGCACTTATAGAAAAGGAGGACACTCAAAACACGGTCGTCCTTACCTTATTGCCGAAAATAGATATACTCAGGTTAACAAAGAGACATCACAAAAAAGAACAGCTAGAGAGTCTGTTAATTAGCCTACTACATCTCACTTCTTCTACAACGCAAAATAGAAAGTGTACGCCCACCTCCCGCCCCGCACTGCACAATGCGCTTCAGTGTGTGCTAAAGTTCCACCTGAAAATTCATACAGTCTCAGAATTGGTACCAAAATATTGAGAGTAATATTACCATCTCAACATCCTTTAAAAGTAAGAACAGAATCAAAACAAGCAAAAAAAAATTTTTTTAAGAAAAAAAAATAACTCCTTAATATAACAATTATACTATGGTTAGCTTTGAACTAGATATTAAAGCTATGTAACTACTGGACTAAGTCAAAATCACTACTAAATGTGATTCAAAGAGATTTCAAAGGAGAAGGGGAAGAGAGAAGGGGATGGGAAACCATCAAGAAAAACAAAACAAAACCAAACCAAAATATGGGTTATATACACATTTAAAAGCTGTTGTCTTATATTACAGCAGATTCGTGAGATGATGAGATGTAGTCAACCCTCGATCCGAAGTGAGCCATCTCTGGTTGGGATGGGGAGTGAGGCTGGTGGGGGTCCAGGTCTGAGGACATCACCTAAACAAAGGGCCACTCAGAAACTTCGCCCAGTCTTGCCTGGACATCCAGGTATGCTCTGTAGGGCAGGCAAGGTCAGGTATGCCCAGAAGAAAACATAAAGTGGGGGAGGGAGGAGAGAGAAGAAATGTCAGGCAAGTGTATGATTTATTCCAATGGTTTAACTAGAGCTTTCAAAGGACTTCATCGGACTACTGCATACGTGTGAAAATGGCCCGGCTAACAGCTTGCAGAGATCACAGCTTGGGAAACCTGACATCTAAGCCACGCCCGATGCTGGGAAGAGGAGAGCTCTTAACTCACTTTGCTCATTTGATACGATACTGTGGAATTCTTGAGGTAATGGTAGGAAATGCGGTCAGCAAATGTGGTCAGGTTGTGTTTCTGGCTGGACTGGCAAATCGCACCTTGACCAGAGATGCTTTTTTCTGTTTAAACTTCTGTTTTCAAAGCCAAATGTTTTTAAAAAGCTTTGGCCTTTATTAGATACCTGTCAATGATTGTTAATAGCTGAAAATGCAAATTTGTAATGAAAAATCACATTACACACCTAAAAACTGAAGGTCAGAATACTTAACAAACTATGCAACAAATAACCAGCTTTGGTTATAGGAGACAAAAACAGGCCCAGGATTCACAAACTTGCTAACTGAGTCTCCCTGAATTGACCAGGGGCCTGGGCTCCTTTTTTGGGGATGGCACCAAATGTCAGAGGGTCACCTCTGTTGGGGACAATGTGTGTGTCTGACCGGTGCTTCCAAACTGCTGCGGTGCAGCCATGTGACTCTATTAGCTTACTTAATCCATTTTGGAAGGGGGTGGGTTGCTACCTCCACTCCCTTGGCTACTTCATCCTTCTCTGGAAATTGAGTCCTAAGGTTGGATGAGGGAGGATGGGCTGGAGCAGCCTCCTCCCCTACCCCTAAGGGAAGGCTGCAGCAGCCTTGGAGGGTACAGAGCTGCGGGCAGGAAGCCCTATGCCACTCCTCTTTCTCCAGGGGCACTGGTGGCCCCAGTGTCTGGCCTTCCAAAGACCTGCTGTGCCTGGTAGTTGTTTAATTCCCTCTCCATCTGACTCCACAAAAGACTGGAGCCACCTTCGACCCTCAAAGTTCTTGGATAAATCAGTCCCCCTTGCTCTTAGAGAAACCTTACTTCCCCTGGGCCCCCAAACCCAGCTCAATTAGTAGCGAGTAGCTGTCCTTCACACTGTTAGTGGCCTCTGGCTCTGGCCAGCAATGGCTGGGTCAGTGCTCAAGGGGAAGTGGAGGCGAGGGGTGGGAGAATTCACACACAGGGGTTTATTTGGTTAAGAGAGGCAGTTGCGTTAGTTGAGGTGATTCCTTAGCAGCAACATTAGAGAAATCCAAGAGATTTATGGAGCTCAGCTCAGCCTGGTTCCCCCCCTGGTCTCAACCTGCAGAGTCCTGACTGACTCAGGGGCCAGGAGCAATCCCCCTCTATGGGAGAGGCATCCTACTAACTGCAAACCCGAAGTGGCCAGTTCACCTCTAGCCTTGCTTCTCCCATGACCCAACTCCAGGAGAGAAAGGCTTTTGTGCCCCAGTGGGACTTTCTGAGTGGGGCCCATTCCCTGGCCTCCGTTGTCACCTCCTTTTCCAAAGATAGAGACCCATGTTCCAACCCTACAAACTAACGTGCTAACGCAGGACACAGCTAGTGCTTCCATGAGCGCCACCCTTCTCCCTTCTCGGTGTCCTTCCCAAGAATAATGGATACTTATTTTCAAACGAGAACGTGGCAAGAGGCTTCCTCACTGCCCCAACCTCCCCTCTCTTCTGTTTCACCCCCTCCATATCCCCATCCAAGTGATTTAAAAAATGTTTAATTAACTTGAGCTCAGTTTAAAAGGTTAGGAAACTGGCAGGGATCCAAATCCACGTTACGCAGGTGATGTCGTTAATTTAATTTGCTTTTCATGCGGTAATCTGGATAATTACTCAGTAGTTACTGGCAAAAAATGTTTTCTTTTCACTAAAAGATGGAGTCTGGCTGTTTGACTGCACGAACCCCATTGGCTGAGCCCCAGCGAGCCCTGGGGAGCTGCAGGGGCCCAGCAACCCACACGGTCAGATCGCAAGACCAGCAGCCTGGCCCCCACCCCCTTCCCCCAGGCCTGGCCCCAGTGCTCCTGTCTCCATCCCCCTGGGACGGGCACAGCACGAGATCGCCTTCCAGTTTCCCACACTCTTGATTGTATGTCAAGACAGAGAAAGAAGAGGCGTGGGGAAGATACAGAAAAGGGGTCAAAAGAACCAAATCAAGGAAAAAAAAAGAGAGAGAGAGAGAAACAGTCAGGAAGGTAGGGGTCATGATTAAAAGCTGGAGGAAGGGATGAGAGATTAAAAGACTGGATTTGTTTTTGCCCCCACCCCCCTGAAAAGGGGTCCAGAAGGAGGAGAGAGAGATGTCGATGTGATGAGACAAGGGCGTGTGCGTACATGTATGACCCAGTGCACATACATGTACGGACACGCCGGCAGGGCGGAGACACATGGCAGAGACGGTAATACCTCAGAGTGAGATGGCAACGAAAGCACCTGCTCAATGGTATCCATTTGTAAAGGCCGTTGCAATCAAAGGTCCCTAAAATTGCACAATTGTTAAGGTCATCAGTGTGCTATACATGGGAACAGATTGTCATATTCTGGGAAAGGAAATTATCTCTAGGACTAGTCTGTGGTTGCCAGCATGAATATGTAATTCTGAGACACCGTGCCACGAGGGGCCAGGATGGCACCCTCCCCAACTGCGAACCCCTGGCCCCCCACCCCCGCCCCAAGCCTGTCTGTTTACCCAGGCGAAACCAAGAGCCAGATTCAGAGGGGTGGCTGGGTGGTGGACAAGGGGGGGACTCATGCCCCAAATGATGGGCATGATGGCCTTGAACCCCAGAGGGCAAAGATAAGAGTCTCTGTCCACTGCCCCAGCTGGGGAGAAGAAATCCCAGTGCAGACAATCCGGTGTGATGCTCTGTGATTATTGCAGAAAAACATCACAGCACACAGGCCAAAAGACCTAGGTTTTCAAGAACAGATAAGGTCTGTGTTTCTGGACACTGAAAATGGAAATGAGTTGTGTTCCAAGTGGTGATAGATGGTCCCCCAAATTGATGCGGCTCTCAGGTGAATAATAATATTGTAGATTTGGTGCTACAGTTGGTCCAAGGGGATTAGACTCATCCAGCGACTGACTTAAGTGATACTGGCTTGGGTGTGGAATTGAACGAGGACCCAGACTGCACAGGCCAGGGCTGGCAGATGTGTGTGTATGCGTGAGTGTGAGTGTGTGTGTGTGAGTGTGTGTGTGTGTGTGTGTGAGTGTGAGTGTGTGTGTGTGAGACGCTGTGCGGACGGGCTCCCAACGCCAGGGGGCACAAGCGAGGCCACCCTGGGGCCCCAGACTGTCTGCACTTAGTTTGTTCTCCGCAGCCTGGCCCTGGAGGCAGGGCCCCCCTGCTCTGTCCCAGAAGCAGGGTCTGACAGGAATGTGACCTGGGACAGCAGGCACTCTCATGTTCGCTCAAAACCAAACTGCCTCCAAAATGCTGAGGTGGGCTAGGGCGGAGGTTGGCCGATTTTCTGTTTCCAAAATGGAAGGGACAGCGAGCGAGTGGGCTCAGGCACATTCATGCTCACACACACCGGGAGGGAGAAGAACAATACAATCTGAAAACAGCATGCAAATCTGTTAAGCAAATTTCCATTGCCTGGATTAGTCAGATTATAGAACCACAGAGCATTACAAATATCAAATGCATCTGGCCTTCAGGGGCTGCAGCTAAAGAACGCAAATGGGGACTTACTTGGAACCTGGAAACTGGAAGACACGTTAGCAAAGGAAACCGCCTGGGAGAGGGCTTGCACCCACACCGCCTCCCAGGCACCAGCGCTGCTGCTGCTGGACCTTAGGCTGGGGGCTCTCTGGGGGATCTAGAGGGGGGCATTTCCCAGCTCCGAGGTCCCAGCCCATACTACAGTCTCCAGTCTCCAGAGATCAAGGAAGGAGGCTGCTACCGAGGACCCACTATGTGCCGGCATGTGGCATCTACTATTTCCATTAACTCTCCCACAATCTTTTGAGGAAGACATACTTATTCTGTTTTGCAGCCAGGGGAATGAGGTTCAGGTGGGTTATGTAAGTGGCTCAAGGCTGCATGGGCCGAAGGTGATTTGAACCTGACCTGCTCACGTCGGGGGCACTCAGGACACATCTAGACGGAGGGGCTTCAGCCCTCAGTGGCTGGTATGATGTTGCTGATGGCGACCCACTGTCCTCTCCTCTGCCCCCAACTCTGGGCTCTCCTGGCACACCCACAGGCCACAAGGAGTTGGTCAGGAACGAGGAGGTAGGAGGGCAGGGGAAGGCAGGTACTTACAGCTATGCCATGGCCGAAGCCCGAGCCCGGCTGTGGGCTGGCCGCACTTATGTAATTCCCCACTCCGGAGTCCTGGCTGGCAGGGCCATAGAGATCGGCGACAGGTCCTGGGCTGTTGGCCCCCGGGAAGCCTCCGGGCCGCGCCGGGTTGGAGCCTGCCGGGGAAGCGGGCGCGCCAAAATTCGGTTGAGCACTGTAGCTATTCAGGACTGGTGTGCAGAGAATAGAGCTGGGTATGAGGCCAGAAGCCAGGCATGCACCGGTCATTACAAGCCAAACACTCGAGAAAAACAGCTTAGGCCCAATTTCTAACACTCAACCAAGGCCATGCGAAAACATCAGCAGGGACTCAAGAATACTCAGCCCAGGCTACTACTAAGAAGCTTGGAGCTCCAAAAATATAGAGAATAAAAAAACAATCATTCAACACACTACGGCAACCAACCGGAGGTGCTTCACTGCCCACCAAATTATCACAATAGAAATAGAGATATATATGGAAGAGAGAGAGAGAAAGAGAGAGATTTGTTTTCACATCTGAACTGATGCTCATGCAGTCTTCTAGGTCTGGGCACGTTGAGACAGCATTCACATCCCATGCAAACTACAAAGGAACTAGTTTTAGACTACACATTGTGTTAATATTGATATTAAAACGTGACAGGAAACAAAGCAATTGGTGTCCAGGAAAAAAAAAATCTTTGCGGAGGGGATTTTTGATTTTTTGTTGTGTGTGTGTGTGAGCTTCACTTTTTCTTTTTTGTTTTGGATCCATTCAATGACAAATTTGTTTTTTGGTTTTTGTTTTTTAAAAAGACAAAAAAGATCTCCATCCTCCACCCCCTCCCCCCACCCCACTCCTCCAAGTCTCCATCGTTCCAGACTCTGCCTCTGTGTGTACACGTTATTTAGCTCCTGCTTACAAGTGAGAACATGGGTATTTGTCTTTCTGTGTCTGAGTTTCACTTAAGATGACGGCCTCCAGTTCCATCCACGTTGCTGTAGAAGACATGATTTCATTTGTTTTTACAGCCGAATAGTATTCCGTGTATGTATATCACATTTTCTTTATCCAGTCCTCCACTGATGGACACTTAGGTTGATTCCATATCTTTGCTATTGTGACAGTGCTGGGATAAACATACGAATGCAAATATATTTTTTATATATTGATTTCTTTTCCTTTGAGCAGATACCCAGAAGTGGGATTGCTGGATCATGTGGTAGTTCTACTTTTAGTTTTTTGAGAAATTTCCATACTGTTTTCCACCGATGGAAAACTAATTTATATTCTCACCAACAGTGTATAAGAGTTCCCTTTTCTCCACATCCTCACCAACATCTGTTATTTTTTTGTCTTTTTAGTAATAGCCATTCTGATTGGTATAACATGAAATCTCATTGTAGTTTTAATTTGCACTTCTTTGATGATTAGTGATGTTGAACATTTTTTCAAATGCTTGTTTGCCATTTGTCTTCTTTTGAAAAATGTCTTTCCTGTCATTAACCCACTTTTTAATGGGGTTAATTGTGGGGTTTTTTGAGTTGTTTGAGTTCCTTGTAAATTCTGGATATTAGTTCCCGGTCAGATGTATAGTTTGCAAATATTTTCTCCCATTTTGTAGGTTGTTCACTCTTGATTATTTTTTTTGTTGTGCAGAAGCTTTGCAGTTTAATTAAGTCTATTTGTTTATTTTTGTTTTTGTTGCTTGTGCTTTTGAGGTCTTAGTCATGAATTCTTTGCCTAGACCAATGTCCAGAAGAGTTTTCCCTAGGTTTTCTTCTAGTATTTTTATAATTTCAGGTCTTACTTTCAAGTATTTCATATGATGAAAGATTGTCTTGTCAGTTTAGCTAAAGTATCAGAGGTATATGACATTGTACTTTTTAAAAAATTTCAAATTATTAACAAAATTTATTGAGTTTTTATCATATGCAAGTCTTGGTGATTAGGG